TATTGGGATTATATTGGGGTTATATTGGGATTATATTGGGGTTATATTGGGGTTATATATTAAGGTTATATTGGGGTTATATATAGGGATAATGGAAAAGAAAATGGAAACTACTATGAATCCGGACTAAGCTGCAGAGCTCTTTGAGGCCAGCGAAGCAGTGGCGGGCAACCAGCGCAGGGCTTGCGTCCTCGCAAAGCATGTGGATGCAGTTGGGACGGACAAGGCATGGGCTGCCACGATTCGTTTTTCAGCCCAATCAGCCCATTAACTCACTGGTGGGTAGTCGGGAATAAGGGAATATAATCCCTATGTAACCCCTTTAGAATATCTTCCTTTATTCCCTACTAACCCTGTAATCCCTATACAATACATGTCCTTATTTCCTACTTACCCCCGCTTAAGGCCTCAGGAGCTGCCACCACCCGGAAGTGCACGTGGACGCGGAGAACTTCGGAGAGTTCTCCTCGGTGCTGCGTCAATGAAAAGCCATGGACACATTTTGCATGAGATTATACCTGCACTATAGTAGGTTTAGGGTTTAGGGGTTTAGGGAATAATACCTGCACCATAGTATACTACAGGGGCCTAAATAATTACCAGTATCATTTTGAGGTTCATTTGAGGTACCATATACTATAGTCATGCAAGGAATATGGAACCATAATATTGGCAATTATGCAGGCCCCTATGTTACTCAGGGTCATTCAGGAGTTTGTGCGTCCATCGTATCACACAACTTTCTCAAAGCTTTGCTGATACCAAACAATTAGGGGAAAATATATCTCAAACAATTAGGCGAAAATGTTTTTAAGTTATTGGGGGAAAAATATGTTCCCCCCAATTGTTCAGTAAATACGGCCTCGCATCGTGCTGTTGGAGCGAGGCCTGTGAGGAGTGCCTCCACACCGCCAAGAGGCAGCCACAACTCAGCTGAGAGTGTCATACCCAAATTTCAAGACCAAGGCGGCGGAATTAAGTTATACCCAATATTATATGAGGTTATATACGGGTTATATAGGGGTTATATAGGGCTTATATAGGGCTAATATAGGGGTTACACTGGTATAATGGAAAAGAAAATGGAAACTACTATAGTATAGTATATTGGGGTTATATGGGGATAATGGAAAAGAAAATGGAAACTACGATAGTAGGAGTGATACCTGCACCATAGTATACTCAGGGTCGTTCTATCGCATCTTCTTGCAGTTGAGTGGCATCCATCACAACGCTGGGGGCTGGCTGCCCGAGTTGAACTTTGACCTCCACCGCCTCTCCTGTCTGTGGCTGAGCTTAGGGGATTAAAGCCATGCCCGGGGCTCGAACCGCCCATCTTCAACCCTGCTTTAGTGGGGAACTAGAGGGGTTATATAGAGGTTATAATGGGGTTCTATAGGGGTCCTATAGGGAGAATGGAAAAGAAAATGGAAACTATTATAATGGGTTGTACAGGGATGATTATAGGGTATATGCTGGGGTTTTATAGGGATAATGGAAAAGAAAATGGAAGCTACCATAATAGGAGTAATCTCAAAATCTCCTGCTTCCGCCGCCTCGATGAGCGGACCTGCAAATGAACTTCCGAGCAGCAGCAAGGGCACACGGCCACCACCTGTTGCGTCGCTTCTTAGCTATAGGGGTTATATGGGGGTTATAATGGGTTATATAGGGCTTATGATGGGGTTATAATGGGGTTCTATAGAGGTTATAGTTTTGGATCTGCAGTGAAGTGTGCCGATTTCAATCCTTGCTCGGAGACTTTGGCCTGAAGATATAGCTGGGCCGATGCCGTGCGCAGATAAATCCCAAGCCTGACGTCCCAGCCACCAGCGTCTCAGCCGCCTGACAACATGAGGGCGTGACAATTCTGCACGATACAGATACCCAATGCCAACAGATTGAGATCTTCATGTAAGCTATAGTCTAAACTCCTAGTATCCCCCTTAAGAACCCCAATAGTAGTTCCCTATATAATCCCCTATATAACCCCCTTTAAGGAGTTTAGACTATAGCTCATGTGAGGCTCCTGGGCTGCCTCCTCTCCGTGTGCAGAGGCGAAGTCGGCGACGACCACGGCACTTGCACCCCGCCGCGCGGCGACAGAGGACTGGAGGAATTAAGCATCAGGTTTAGGGTTTAGGGTTTAGGGTTTAGGGACGACTTCACGGATGACTCCCCCGCACTGGAACCTACGCACCAGTGAGCTTCCCCACCTTTGCAGAAAAGGAGCAGCCACCGCGTTGCACGAGATGGATCTCTCCTGCACTGACAACAGCCACACTGGCACACACAAAAGTTGCCTTTGGACTCCTAGGTACAAGGTACTGGATTCATGGGGCAAGCTTCTGCTTCAAACTGAATAACGTGTTATTTAAGCATATCAAGTTCGCTTTGATTGCTCTACCTGCTGAGTCCTCTTTGTCTCGCCTCGGGCATCTCTCTCTCTGCCTTGCAGCCCAGGCCCTGCCAAAGCAGCCGCCCCTGGAGGAGGTCGCCCGGGCCAGGTGCGGCAAAGACGGCCACAGCAGCCTCCACCCAATGCAAAATGGGGGTTTCCCAAAATTAGGGGTACCATATGGCGGGGTCCCCATAATAAGGATTATAGTATATTGGGCTCTATATTGGGGTCCCCTTATTTTGGGAAACTACCAAATTAGAACGACAGCCACTCCGATAACCAGAAACACATTGGAGTGACGATCCAACTGGCAAGCGAAGGACATTATATAACCCCTAATATGTACCCTATTATATTGTAGTAGTTCCCATTTTCTTTTCCATTATCCCTATATAACCCCAATATAACCTTAATATATAACCCCAATATAACCCCAATATAATGCCAATATAACCCCAATATAATCCCAATATAACCCCAATATGACCCCAATATAACCTTAATATAACCCCAATATAACAAACGAAGGATATTGGTTCCGGTTGGTCCCGGCTTGCACCTCATGGCAGAGGCGGAGCCGCTGTGGCTCAAGGACGCAGATCTTTGCTGGAAACGCCGGCAGCAAGACCTGTACTCTCCGAGAATAATGTACTATTATTTTTATTATTACTATTACTATTACTATTACTATTACTATTACTATTACTATTACTATTCATCCAGCTCAGCTGGACTGAACTTTTATTTCGTCTGACTCAGAGTTTGCAACGGTTCGCAGACACACCTGATTTCAAAGTGACTGCATCAGGATGCTGATCTCTTGCCATGCATGCTTGGGCACGAGAAGCAGCTGCATCGCACACGACATGTCCAGGGTGCAGCCATGGTCGGTGCCGCCCAGGGATCCATGCAACTGGGAAGGGCTGACTCTCTACGAAGGGATGGCGTTGCTGAATCTTGACACGGAGAATCGAGGCTTGCTTGCCAGCGCTCAAGGAGTGTGAGGTGGGGGCAGCATGGCTGGGGAGCATGGCATCACAGCTTCAAAGCCGTTCGGGTCAGCCAGAAGCAGCTGAAGACCACCAGAAAGTAAAGCTCTGAAGGCACACACTACTCTCCGTCAAGATCCTTTTGCCGCGAGGCGGAATACAGACAGTGCATCGATTGACTGACCGAATCACTGATGCCTCGGTGCGCAACCCTGCAGAGCACATAGTTGTCACCCTCTGCACTTCGTGCTTCGAGATGGCCACATGCTCAGGAAGAGATGCGCAGTGCCGGCGTAAAACAACGTCCTGATTTCCTGTTCTCCCCTTACCATTCTCCTCGATCTCAGGCGACGGGCAGCAATGAATAGATCAGCTTTCAAATACTGATCGCCCGGCAACAGCAAGAAGCCATTGTATTCAAAGCAACCATTTCACACGTTACAACCCACAAAGGGTTTCTATGTTAGCATGATGCCCCCTAGAAAGCTCAAGTGCATGTTGCCGGACAATTGCATGGCTGCCTGTCACAGAAGGACATGAATTGTCGGGTCCTCTTCTAACTACACGACAGATACCTGCACTTCAACAAGCAATTGTGCTCATAAGTGCACTCACGGTCTCAGTATGTCTCAGTCATGCTCGTCCACAAGGAATGTCCAATTAGACAAGACCTAAGCTAGGCTCTCCTGATACCTTCCGCATCGTTGCCTTCTGCTGCAATAGCGAAGCCTTCTGAAAAGATGTTTCATCTGCACTGAACACTGTTGCAAGTCGTCTTGAGACACCTTTTGCGACATTAAGATAGCACACAGCAAAAATTAGAGGAGAGTGTATCCAGAGAAAACCTTTCTTGCAGACCAGCTGCTGACTGCACGGTTAAGACCTGAGGAAAGCGTCTGACTCATGACACTCAATACCACTTCCACTCACACTTCACAACTGCATGTTTCTGACTTGTTTCGATCACGACCCTTCACAGACCTGGCTTCGAAAGATCTCTGCGTCAGATCTTAACTGAGCGGCGGCGACCAGAAGTCGCATAGCAAGCATCATGAAGCGAAAGGGCTCATTGCTGGGCACCTCGATTTGGGAAGGAATGGGAGCGAAAGGGAGGGACATAGTTTGGTTCCCTCAGCTGCTACCGTGTCATCGCAGATATCTCAGGGTGGCACGTTGACTGTCGCGGAGTTCAACAAGATGATGAGATGAGCACCTGAGATGCTCTCCGCTTCAAAATGTGTTTCGATTCAAGCTGCTAGATTTGGCTCAGCGCAGGCCCCTTCATATGCCATTGCATGTGGGAGTTGCCGGCTGTAAAATCAATAACTCGTTCACATCTGAGGCACCTATCGCATGGACGATGCTTGTCATCTCCTGCGAAAGCAGATGCCTGCCAAGCGGATCGGTGTTTCGTCAGCCTCTCCCCTCTCTTCTAGGGCCTGAAGAATGAATTGCAGCAACATAACATGCCCCCAGCACCTTCGATACGTCCTTGTAGTGGACTCGAACTCCCACGGTGCAGCGGGGACTGCAAAAACGTGCAGAATCGACGCTGTGCCCCAGAGCGCGCACCTGGAGAATGCTGAATCTGCCACCGCTGTAGAAAATACTTGCCCCAAAGGCCGCTGCAACAGTGACACCTTCTTAGTTTGGCTAATCTTTGACCACAATACATCGTCACATGCGAAGAGCCCTTAGCTCAACATATCCAGAGGCACATAAGCACGAAGAGCAATCCTTGGTGCTGCAGAACTGTGGACCCGAGTCATGCCTAAAAATCGCGCAGGTTGCATTGGCAGTCCGCTTAGCTCACGTTCTGCACAAGATTTCGTGCTGCCAACATGACCGAATGTCAGCAAATGCCCAGCGTTGTTTAAAGCCGGGAGGCCGCGCCAAGACAACTTGGGCTGCAAAGCCGTGCTAGTATCATCCAGCTGGAGCCCCACAACGTCGCCCTGTCAGTTTCACCACGGGTAGTTAAACCAATCCTGGTCCAATTCATGCCACAAATCACACATCGTTGTGCCTGAGCATTGATTGGAACTGGCATGATCTCGGCGGCCTGAGCACGAGCAGCACGCACAGATCAACCACCCAATGCCATAACCGCTGGCACCAATGCTTCTTGCCGGGAAACTCCCGATTCAGCGTGCTGCTTTACAGCTACTGCGATCTTTGTGCCATCCACGCGCTGCACTCCTCAGGCTTCGTAGGTGCAAATTATGGCACTGATGAAGCATGTGGGCATGTGGAGACTTCTGGGCAGCTTCTCTTTGAATCAAGCCACTGTTTAGGTTGGAGATGAGGCTCAGCCCAAACTGTTCTCCACGCCTTGGCAACTCTTACTGGCGCCACAGGCCGCAAGCGCAAACAGCAAACAGCTGCCCATGAATTCAACGCTTTTCTTTTCGAGTCGCCACATGCACAGTTGCAAGGTCGCGGCCAAGAGGTACAGCAGTGTGCCTCGGTGACTCAGTAACCCAGACCCCTGATCCATAAACCCCCTCCCCTTGAAGGGGATTATAATAAGGATTATAATACTAAGGCCCTTGAAACGAAGGGGTTTATGAATCATGTGTCCACATTAGTGGCTTGCCATGGTTGCTTGAGAATCTTCTCCGAATTTGCTGCACCCTGGCCTCCCACATCGATGGCTGTGGTTGAGCTGCCCATGAGATCTGGGCCTCCAGCACCACGTTCATCTATATACAAGTCTTCAGACCCTATATGGGGGATTGTCAAAATTATGGTCCCTTTTTGGGCCCCCTAAATTAGGCCCCGTATTATAGTAGGGACCCAAAAAGGGACCATAATTTTGACAATCCCCCATATAGTCTCCCTCAAGTAGATAGAATATGGCTTTGGGTATATTATAATAAGATCCCCATATACCCCCCATATTCTATCT